AGATCTAGGTTCAAGGAGCTCAAACAAAGTCACTAATGACGGTTCAACATTGTCAAATAAAATTTCTTTTTGGTCCATTCTCGTGATGAGACAATGTTCAGTACCAAGAATAAAGCGTTAAGACTTTCTAATGGTTTCTAAGTTTGATACAGGGTATATCAAATAGTGTATCTACGGGATAACACATTTAAGAATCACCTATGTAAGTGTGAAGTGTAAGCCGCTTCAAAGAGAATTTTGTAAGGCCAATTCTGTACGCACTTATGAACCAGGTGGTGTTCATGGCTGAAACGAACACAGCAATGAGAACCAAAGACGGTTAAGAGTTGATTGTGTGACTTATGGTTGTCTAGGTATACACCAAAGCTCGACGGTTCAAAGATATCAATTCTAACGATTGACCGAGTATATCCGACATAATTCACTACGGAAAGTTCAAAGGAAAACCTACTTATCCAGATGCGATTAATCCTTACTTGCGAATCACACTGTATTTTGATGCATGTTTTTAAACATATGCCCATTCCCCATTCATGTGGGAGATTGTTACGTTTTTTCTTTAAAGGGAGTGAATGGGAAATGGAAAAGGCACCTTTTGGATTGCACCTCTCCATATAACCCTTCCTTTGTCTATAAATTTAGAGGCTTGGCCTCATTTTTCAGAGATGAAAAATCTAAAAATTTCTCCCCCCTTTTCTATATTGTTGCATTATTTTCAAATAAACATAAGCGTCAAGTATGATTTGCTCCGTCTATTGAGTTCGCTAAAATTCTGTAATTTCGATTGCCAGTATTGCAGAATAGTTATTCTGTTCTATCCTGAGAGGAATTAATCCAAAACCTTGGGCAACAATGAGGGGATTAAATTCCTTAAGGACACACAAGCAACTTGTCGGCTCGAAATTATTTTTTTCTGTTTTGTTTATTAAACTAATATTTCTCTGCTTCTCTAATTTTCTGATTTAGAACATAGTAATACCAACACCACATAGTATAAATTATTGAGTACTTTATCCTAGGGGTATCAATGGTTCGGTTCAGCCGATTATTTTATAAAATTTTACCATACTAATTTTTCGGTTATTCTATTATGTATAACAAAAATTAGACTTTTCGAAACCATCCGGATCATGTTGGTTTCTCTTCGATATCGGTACAGTTGGTTAATTTTCGTTTTTTTAAAATGCCATGTAAAAATCGACAGTAGAAGTAGAATGCAATAACATACATATTTTTATAGGACTTAGCAAAACTCTCTAGATAATTTAATTGTTAAAAGGGTGATGAATTAAGAAAATATAAAAGATGGTGAGAGTATAGATTCACCAACTATTCTACATCAGCTAAAAGAAACTAATCAAAGACAAAGAAAATATAAATCACACTAGTGAAAAGATATTAACCAAGCTGGTACTCAAGAATAAAGTTTATAGCAGATTCAATATTCAAAAAGATAAATCTAAAACATATGAAAGGAAACATATTCAATACATTGTAGTCTGCTGCTCATATTTGCTAGATTAATACTTTGTGCATTGCTAATGAATATGCTGGAAATAATTAATTAGTTTCAGTAGGAATAGCAAAAGAGGTTTGGGAATTAGGATTTTGAGTTTAATTACTTGCTGGCTTGTAACCATTTACATAATTCCAAGGTCAAGGAAAATTTAGTGCTTTATTATTTTTAAACTTAATATATAAATATATTTTTCACATGTAATTTATTTAGTACGGGTTTGGTATTTTTTCGGTTTATTTTCATAAAATAAAAAATCTACCTTAGTTATCGGTATGGTTACAAATTTATATAAAAACCTACGGTTTTATTAAAAGAAACCTAAAAATCAGTTCGGTACAGTACGATTCAATCGGTTTAACTGATTTTTAAATATCCATTGGCACCCTACTTTATCCCCGGTCCCACCAGTGTTAGACAAGGTCCATTACCAAATTAACAATTCAAACTACTATAATGATTATATTTTATAGTAAAAATTCCATTGTGCATATGGATAGCGAAGCTGTAAATAAGGGAAATAACAAATAATGAAGTTAAGGTTTGTGCACTATTAGGTAGGGGTGTTTGTCAGTCGATATGGTACGGTAATTAAATATTTTGGTTCGATATTTTCTGTATTCGGTTTCGACTTATTCGGTTCGGACCGTTCGGTAACCTCGGTTTATTCGGTTTGAATACTAACTAGTACATAAAATCATATACTGTAAACTTCTTAATTAATTACTCAAAAGTACAAAACTAAAAACGTTTGTTGACAAAGGTTTTGTCCAAAACCAGCAACTATCAACCCAGAGAGAGAAAACTGTACATAAAGGAATAAATTTGATCATTAGAAATGTCTTGTTACTTGCTTTGAGTTAATTGATGACCTTAGAGAATAAAGAAAAGTAAACTATAGATTTTTTATATTTATGTTATATTTAATAATATGTGTATTGTGCAATATAATATATATTTCGATACGGTATCGGTATTTCGGTATTTCATTTAGAAATACTAAATACCATACCTAATACCAATTTTTATTAAAAATTAAACCAAATACCATACCAAATACCAAAATATCGAATACCAAATATAAATTTTTTGGTTTAGATACGAAAATTCGATATTTACCAAATTATGCACAACCCTACTGTCATGTTAGAGATACTTTCACAGCTATTATAGTCTGGCATACTCCAATAAGTTACTCTCTTTTTTCAAGTTATCAAACTATGTTGCATGTAGACATTCACTTAAAATTGCTCCGGTATACAAACATTACTTATATTTGCAATTTAGTAGTGCCTTTTTTTGGGTACAAATATGTGATATTAGATATTGACTAGTGCTAGTTATATATGAAATGAACTAAAGATATATTTTACTACTCTAGGGGATTCTAATAGACTAGAAGTCCTTCCGGCCCATTGTGACTGTGAATTGAATGAATAAACGGATGAAATCAAGAAATAATTCAACTAACAGTTCGAACCAAGAAATGGAAGAACGAAAGTCGTATGGGTTCACAAAGATTCCACGGTTGAGAAACTTCCTGCTTCCCTTCTTGGGCTTTAGTGATCCCAATCACCATTATTTGGGTCCTTGATATAGGATTTATTTGAAGATTTACTTCATTAATATAATTAATGCCGATACCCACGTGGCAGACTACTCGGTAGTCGGCATAGGAGGTGACCTGGCCCCATCTTGAGTGGATAGCCATTAGCTTTACAAAGAGTCTTTGGTGTAGTATCCAAATTGGGAAGGAAAAAAGCGAAATATAAAAGTGGCCCCTTTAAATTGTCTACAATGATCAGACAAATATTTTAATTGACCCTTTTATTATTTAGACCATTCAAGTGTATGTGTGTTTGCTAAAAAAAAAAAAGAGTGCATGAATACATTTTTTTCAGCCTAATCTTTTTTTGGGGGAGGGGCGGGAGGGGGGTGGGGGGGGGGGAGGGACAAGAAAATAGCCGCAGCTTAGCCTCTCTTCTTTGTTTTAACTGCAACCCACCATGAAACTACCATAAAGGCCATAAAAATCAGCCACTAAAGCTCCAACTAAGCTACTGTAGATCACCAGAAACTGTCGCCTTTCATCACAAAACCTACTGTCTGTGACCTTCAGAGTTCTGCCTAGTTCCGTCGAGCCAAAACCAATCCCGAGCCCAGCTGAAAGAAGCAGCAAAAATTGCAGCAACAACAACTGCGAAAAACTTCCAATTCTCCACTAGATAAATGCCCTTTCTTCATCCAATAACACCTTCATTCCCATAGAAACACACAAACAACAACCAATTATTTGAATCGAACGATAATTTTAAGAAATTTTTTTAAACCAAAAATAATAAATTAGAGAAACAAAAGTGATTTAATCCCGAATTCATAGCCAAGAAAATGATGATAGAGAAGACTGAAGATTCTAGTAGAATCGTTTCTTTCAGCTTTGCTCGAAGATCAATTTTCCGATGAGAGATGAGCTTTTTTCAATGAGGTCCGTCAATGATTCCTTAGTGTGTCTCTGGTTTGGCTATTCGTTGTTGTTTCATATTTGTATTATTTTTATGGAAAAAATTTAAATTTAACTTTCAAATATGAATGGGCAAATTTAGAATATAGGGCGGTACGTCAGACAAGAAGGTGGGAATGGGAAAAAATCTGATGGAAAAAACTTGTGTTTAATTGGTTGGATGGAGGGTGGATTTGGGAAAAGGGGATAGGGACGCGGAAGATGAAAAGAAAGGGGGGTGGGGGTGGGGGGGGGTATGGAGCTTGTTTTAGGTGGAAGGGATAAGATGAAGTTTGGGGGCGGGGGGTGGGGTGGGGGCAGGAGGGCGCTGGTTTGGCTAAAAGTGAGGGAAAAGGGTTTTTTCCTTCCTTAAATTCATTTTTTTTGTTAATTATATGTGTTGATTTTAATTAAAAATTATACGTGTTGTTCATTAATTGGCTCATTTAACACGTCATTGGCAAGTGTAACTCACGTAAGCAATTTGTATGTCTAAATAATAAAGGAGTCAGTTGATGTATTTGTCTAATCATTGTGGACTACTTAAAGTGGGTCCCGTTATGTATTTCACCAAAGAAAAGAGATTGTTTGAAGTACTAACATTATAATTTACCGTTTCGCATCCACTGCTTCGCTCCTTATAGCAATGTTTTATGACAACATTATGCTGAAGAGTGTTGAAGAATGATAAGCTGTCCATGGTTATGCTATCAATATGCCAAGGTGGGTTGAATTGTTATTCAACATATTAATAACTAGTTTGGAATCACATTCCAATATTATTTTGTGATACCCATTGGAATGGCACCTTATTTTTTATCTATATCAAAACAATGTCTCATTTCTATAAATTAAGAAAAGTTCATACTTTTTAAAATGTTACAGGGGCTCCACTTGTTTACAAAAACTCTTATTAATAACTGTAGTGCTTATATAATTAGAGTAAAGCTAGTCAAGCAGAACATGGCTTGCAACTCTGAACAATTCCTTCCATTATTAAGACTCAAAAAAAATTATCCACACTTTACACCTGTTCATCCTATAAAGTTGTCCTATATAAGCAACTGCCTCCAAAGGGACTTCAATTCATTCAACTCCAACAAACAAAACACACACACACACACACAAACTCTCAACCAAAAGCTCTATGGCACAAACTACTTCCACTCTATTCATTCAAGAATTCATGAAGAACTTCCACTACTCAAGAAGACTGCTCCTGGAGGCCACCGTGGCGCCGCCTCCGGCAGCCAAAATCAGCCATGACACAACTGATCTAGTATCACTTAGTAACAACGTCAACACATTTGATGCAAATGTTATTATGGTCTTGGCCGTACTTGTATTTGCCTTGATTTGTTCACTTGTCTTCAACTCCATCATAAAATGTGCATTTAGGTGCTCTAGCCTAATATTGGCAGACTCATTCTCGAACCATAGAAATCCTTCAGCAGCAAAGCTAGCCAATACTGGGATCAAGAAAAAAGCCCTCAACACATTTCAAATTATAACATATACCACTGAATTGAAATATCCGGGGGTTGGCACTGAGTGTGTAATTTGCTTATCAGAATTTGGAGTTGGAGAGAAAGTTAAGGTTCTGCCCAAGTGCAACCATGGGTTCCACGTCAAATGTATCGGTAAATGGCTGAATTCCCACTCTTCTTGTCCTACTTGTAGGCACTGCCTTATCGAAACTTGCCAAAAAATTGTAAACGGAGACAGTTTTGTTGCTACAACTGTAATTCCAAACACTAGCAATACTTCATCAGCACCAGTACTTCAAGAAATTGTAATACGGATTGAACCTCTCCAACGTGAAGGTGTTATAATCAACAATCAAAATTAGGTAGAACAACTACTGTCTAGTCTTTAGTTGATTGGTATGTATCACACATTAATTCAATTGTTTCTTTTCTTGCTGGAAAAGTTATAGCTAGCTGGCTTGAGGCGAATGCCCATGTAGTTTTCAAATGATTAATCATTAGTCTTGCAAGTTGCAAGTGTATATAAATTAAATTTCATTATTCGTTTCTTTATTAAAATTATATTTCTGCTTTTATGTAGTTCCCCGCTTAGTTGTTTCCCTATTATAATTTCTCTGTTCGTTTTCTATGATGATCAAGTTGATTATTGTACTTTCATGATAACTTAGAAGATTGACAAGTCTCCGGAAGAGAAACGTCAATATAGCTTGTGTCCAGGAGACTAGGTGAGTACGATCGAAGGCGAGGGATGCTGACGGGTATAAGTTGTGATACTCTAGAGTCACGAAGGGTAAGAATGAAGTGGGTATTTTGGTGGATTGGGAACCTAGAAAGTCTACGGTAGAGGTTAGGCGGGTGAATGATAGATTTAATGTTTATTAAGTTAGTGGTTGGAGAGTGCACTCTAAATATCGTTAGCGCTTATGCGCCACAAACGAACTTGGATGAGGAGGTTAGAAGGCACTTCTGGGATAGGTTGGATGAGATAGTGCATAGTATTCTGCCTGCTGAGAGGCTATTTATAAGAGGGGATTTTAATGGTCATATGGGGTCAACTGTTGGTGGCTATGGCGAGGTGCACGGCAGCTTCGGCTTTGGGGTTAGAAACGGAGGAGGAACTTCGCTATTGGATTTTGCTAAAGCATTTGAGCTGGTGATTGCGAACTCTAGTTCTCCGAAGAGGGCATAGCATTTGATTACATTTCAAAGTACGGTGGCGAAGAATCAAATTGACTACCTACTCCTCAGGAGGTGTGATAAGGGTTGTGTAAGGATTGCAAGGTTATCCCTGGGGAGACCCTCGCGACGCAGCATAGGCTCTTGGTGATGGATATCGGTATCATGATAAAGAGGAAGAAAAGGTATGTTCGAGGTCGACCGAGGTTCAGATGAGGAGCCTCGACTAAGGATAAATCTCAGGAGTTGGGGGG